AAAGAACAAAAAGGGAAAGTTAAGCTTCACTTTTTATGCCTTTTTCATTTTATTAAAATTAAGCTTTTTGAGTTTGTATTGCAGCCTTTATTTCTGAAATAAGAAAAAAAACATATCATTATTATCAGAGGCTATTTATAATCCCTCCAGTTCAACCCCCCCACCCCCCCGCCCACCTTCCCCACGCCTCCCACTGGCCGCACACAGCTAGTGCACACAGCCGTTCCATAGTAAGGTGTACCACACCCCTACCTCCGACACACCACACCCAAGCGAGAAGGTGTCTGTGATACTGACACACTTACTGAGAAGTTGAGTGTTTTCCTTTGAATGGACTCGGTCATGTTGGCTGTACCTTTTGGAAAGTTTGGCAAAACGATTTCCCCCTTGAGTTGTTTAGTGTCTAAGCCTCGATCTTGCATTTCACATCAGAAGCATATTGAACAATGATAACATACCTACCCTCAGCATCAACATCATCCAGTTAGAATTATCTGTGCAAACAGAATCTACAACAGTCTGATAGAAACGGCATGTTGTCAGGGAGCGTCCAGTGAAAACAAAGCGAAGAATGGCAGAGCTAATGTGGAGCTGGGCCTGCACAGAGTTGGGTTTCAGTCTAATTGGGATCATACGCCGCATGTGCAGTTTTGGCACATACGTTAGATTAATCAGGGGCTCTTTAATCGTGGAGAAATTCTCCTGTGCGTGGCTGGGCGGACGCTGGGCCTCCCCCAAAGACCCCCAGACCCCCAGCCTGGGCTCTGTCTAAGCACAGACCTTTTGACTCCATAAACACCCGCTCTCAAAAATTGGGGTCAGCCTCTCATTGCTCGCACCAGAGCACTATCATGCCACCACAAAGGGTCCCCTTAATGATTAAATTGCGTCAAGTATGGATGTTCCGAATCTGCAGATTCCTGGCGGCTGACTCTTCCTCCTGATTGTAATTTATGTCGGAAGTCATTGCTGTCCAACACTCAGCCAGGTTCAAAGCCCTGGAGAGAGAATGTGCACGTGGATGAAATCCTGCATCATGCAGCCGACTACAGCTGGGAAACAAAGGCAAACCTCACACATTCACCTCATACCTTGTACAAACGGACAATAGTAATAAATGCATTTCTAAAATGTGCTCATGTCTTTCTTCCATATTGCTGCGTCTCTCTTTCCAACCTCAGCTCTGATGTTTAGGTTAACCTGTCATTAATCTGCATATGATTAAGCTTTGACATCAATTTGACGTTCTGAGCGAGGGACTGATTAGCCATTTGCTTGGATGATGATGATGGTGGAGTGTGTGTGTGTGTGTGTGTGTGTGTGTGGTTGGGGGAGACTTGCAGATGTCCATGTGGATCTTACGGTGAAACTGAAAACTCTTGTATAAGACCACCAAGTAAAAGAAAGGTGCAGTTTGGGGGAAAAAAAAAGATAATCAGCAGGAATTTTAAGAATCTGGATTCTATAACTTATAAAGAGCCACAGGTGAAAATGAATATTGGGAGTTTATAAATTGTCAGAGGCATCACTGAACTTCACCTGGATGGAATAATATAATAGTATAATGTCTTTTTATTTATTTATCATAATTCCTTATTTTGCACCTATTGCAATAATTAGTCCTCAGATCACTGAAATGAATGCTGATCCTCGGTGATGAAAGCACGCTTGTCATTTTACATTAATTACAGGAAAAGTACAGCGAACGCAGCTTTCTAAACATTATGACAAAAAAAAAGCAAAAACTCTAAGTATAATGTGCGTTGATGCAGATTAAAACTTGTGCAAGTTTCAGACTCCAAATTGTGTGTTTTGAGCCTGGACTGGGAGATTCAGACCTTTAATTTTGAAATCTGAGACATGTAAGACGCGTTTCCTTTGAAGCAAATGATCTCTTCACTCTTGCTTTGTTCTTTTGTTTACAGCACTTTATACAGGCAGACATGAGCGCTGATGTTTGCCACATTACAACCCAGCTGCTTATTGATCCCACACACTTCAAGGCATCAAGGACAACACCTTCACCTCAAGGTCATCAGGCCCAAAATGAAGCTGTGGGAAAGAAACGTCAATGCATCAGCAAATAGAAAAAGAAAAATGATGAGCAAAATTAAAGATTTAAAGCCTTTTTGTTCCCAATATTTAAGCTGCAGCAGAGATAATAAAGTGTATATTAACTCGACTGAATTACAGTTTGATGCACTTTATCTGATGAAGATCTTATTTCCAGACGCTGATTTTGACTTTAAATGTCACATTTCTGTTGCAGAGATTAAAGCAAATTTAATGACATTTTTAAACGTCCCCTGTTCTCAAAACATGTTTTTCAAATCCTTTCAGCCTCTTCCCTTGAGTTGGAGTAATTGGTCATGTGCAGAAGGGCGGGAAAATGTTAGTTTAATCATCCGTGTTTTTTTGTTTTTTTTCAATTGTGTTTCAATGTGTTTTTCAATTTTTTAATTTTATTCTTTTAATGATTATCTTTGTCCTGCAGCTTCTGCACTGCCGTGTTTCCATGCCTCAAATCTTTTACTTATTATTTGATGGATTTCCGACATATGTCTTGAAACGCAAGGTGTGTGTGTGTGTGTGTGTGTGTGTGTGTGTGTGTGTGTGTGTGTATGACAACATGTCCCAAATACATTTTAGATTTTTTTTTTTTAATACATCATCTGATGTCAGGATATTAACAGAATCGTGTGGTGTGATTTGTCTATAAGGTCAAAAAAAAAACAGCAAAACCCACAGCTGTGTCTTTTTTGTTCATTTACAGAATGTGTTTTGTAGTTTAATGAAAAACACTGAGCCTGTGAAGCTGAGCCTGACCGGGTCCATGCGACAGATGCACTTATTTTTATGACTCGTTTTATTACATGTCAAATTATTTGTTTTGGCTGCAGAAAAAAGTGTCTTTGTGAAGCTGAGACAGCGGCTAAAGCAAAAAGGAAATAGTATAATATGTTGAATATATATATATTTAAACCACCATGCTGTTACACTGCAGTGATAAGCTTCTATCAGCGGCTGAGGAAACGCTGCGCTGCATCGTATTTACATGAAGGGGAAGGTTAACCAAATTTGTAATAGACTTTCTTTGGGTCCCACGTTATCCTGCTTAATAATAACACAGTTGAGGCCTGTAATAATCCCACTGCTGAACCACTGGGTGTTTATACTGACCTTATTTTAATAGTTCGCTCTCATGCGCCTACACTCACTTACACACAGTGTTTATTTCTTAGAGCCAAGGGCTGGGGTTGATATCCGAAGAAATGCTATTAAAACATAATCAGAAAAATAAAAGTAGAACTGTTACCATGACTTAGGTTAAAGAAATTACAATGGAGCATAGGAAAATCATCTTTCCGTATGACGGACGCATTTTGAGTCGTTACGCACAAACCAGATATTCCAGTGATGTAAAACTGGCCCAATAATATGAAACAAATTACAGTGGGAGTTCACAGAGCACTGGCGTGCTTTAGTTCTAGTGTGATATTAAAGCTCATGTGTCCGTTCAACCATCAGCTTCAGCCCACAGACTCACACAGAGCGGGTCATGTGGACATGAGACGTTATAAAAGGTTATTATACGAGGAGACCTGGACGGGTTTCAGTCAACATGACGCGTTCATTTCAGTGTTGTAGCCTGTGTTTGTGTTTATGTCACAGGCCAAAGCACGCCTCACACATCTCACTATTTGCTGTAGAAAAAATGTATGGAAATAGTTCTGTTAAAATGCTGAGCACGTGGACCACAGCCAGAGTCCACTTCATTTACTTTCAATTACTTTCAGTTTTCACTCAGATGAAGAGCTGTTGAAAATAAAACATGTCCTCTCAGGTTTAAAGGTGTGAGTCAAACAGATGAAAAACACGACAGATGAATGTAGGTATTAATCGATAATGATAATAATAGATAATAGATATTAACAATAACTCGATCCTCACTGTGTTTCCATTTTTCGTGCAGTTCTCCCGGAGCCTGAACACCTCAGATATAAAACGATATTCCTCCCGTCTAAACTCAGTAAGATCAATAAAATTTGATAAGAAATCATTACATTATAATGAAAAACCTTATCTTTGTCCAGTGTAAACCCGATGGACCATCAGCACTCCTTTAAAACGTAACGTGAGGGTTTGAAACTGCTGCTAATATTCCGCCAGAGCTTTAAGGAAAATGTTGCGGTGAAAAAATTCAAAATAAAAATCCTGTAACAAAAGAATAAATTAAAGAAAAAATAAAAATTAAAAAAAAAGGTTTCCGGTCGATGGTGCAGCACAAACACACAACCACTGGGAATAAACTGTTCCACAGCTTATAGGCTACAACAATATAACGTGATGGTTGTGGTGACATGAATAGAATATTATAGGATGTTATAGTCCGTGCCATAATAAGACTCATCAGTCACTGCATCAAAATTGACTTGGTTTTTGTTCCTTTCTAAAAACTTCAGCAAATGAGCCTATAGTGTCTCCACAAGTCTTGTCAATAATAAATAAAAAAAAGCCTTTTTCTTCACCTGCAGCAGAAAATTTAAATGAAAAAAGAGAGAAACAGAAATAGAAAAACTGCTTTTCATTAGGTCCTTTCATCCTTTCCTTTACACTGGAATATCATGTAGAACTGGTGTTAAACTAGGAAACCACTTTTTTTTTTTTAGCTAGCCTGGCTGATTTTCCTCATACACAAGGAAGAGCAGCGTGTCATGAACTGGGATGCACAAGTTGTGCACTATATGACTCCACAACCCAGCAAAATATGTCAGGAGTCAACACGACATTTGCTTATTGTGAAGGTATGTAACCATATTAGGCCCTGGGCCATGTCAACATGTCAGTGTGTGCGACTGATGAGCCTGTAAGCTGTCATCATCATATTCACCTGCACTGTACACACACTGGATTAAAAGATTATCATAAGCCTATGTCCTTTACAATAAACAGAGAACAGCGTTAGTGAAAATATATTTAATAATTAAACATAGCACAGTTACACAAAGGGAATGCAAAACAGATGAGTGAGAGTGGATCCTTAGAATATAAAGGGTTGGACCTACTGCAAAAGGTTTGAGTTCCCTCCTCAACAGCAGCAAGTTCATCATGAGGGAATGCATGGTAGGGCTACGACAAAAACACAATGGCTGTTGGAAGATGTTGCCTTGTACAGTTTCGGCAGCGCCTGCAAAAGTCTTTGGTTTGCATTAGCACGCATCCTCCGCACCATCAGGGAGTCCGCTCTCATCCAGAAGATGCACAGTGAGTGTGGTGAGAGGTTCTGCATGTAGGAGTCAGAGTCTCTGCAGGCATGAGGCCGGGTCATTCCTCCTGAGTGTTTTCTGAGTTAGAGCTCGAGCCTTCAGACTGACGGTCAGCATCGGTCCCGGACCTCTCCTGCTCAGAGAGCTGCTCGCTGCTGGGGATGGAGTTCTTCTTCGGACGGCCTTTTGGTTTAGTCGGAGACTCCAGGCCTCCTCCCTGCAACACCTACAACACCAGCAGGAAAGTCAGGCTCAGGCTCAGCACAAACCGTGATCAATTATATCACCCCACTTCCAATCAGTGGCTATCACAATGCCACAGAGACAAGAAATATATATAATCATATATGATTAATTATATATAATATATATTCAATATAATAAAGTTTAAGACACAATTTATTCACTCTGTATTTTTCTAAATACTCTTAATAACTTTCATTGATTTCATCTGAGCACACTGTGCACTCATTTTCACATAACATAACATAACATAACATAACATAACATAACATAACATAACATAACATAACATAACATAACAACAGGGTTAAACTGAGCAGCATGGCACAGTTAACACCAGTGTTGATCTAATCTGGTCCTTCTACATGCAGGGTGACTCACTTTGACTCAGTGCTAATTCATTTCACTGAACATTTCACAAATCCCACAGAACTCTGTTGAAATAATGCACCACAGAAATAAATGTAATGGAATAAGAATTGTTTGTTGTTGAACACTGCCATTATCATCATCATCATCATCATCATCGTCATCATCATCATCATTAGCATCATTATCATCATCAACATCATCATCATCATTATCATCAAATGGAATTTGAAGAATTACTTACTATTTTCTTCCACTTCATCCTTCTGTTCTGGTACCATGTTTTCACCTGCAGCTGACTGAGACCCAGAGACTCAGCCAGGTCTATTCTGTAGGGAGAGAGAAATCAATGAAATCAAACCTCACGCTGCAAATTCAAGATCAAATCACTTCAGTGTTTGGCCAACAAAACCGCATCAAATCTTTTCAGTTGTTTCTAATAATTCTGCAGGATAAACTGTCACATACAATTAGTCAGTATATGAAGTATATGAACCTACAGGGAAACAGTTTTGCTTTAGGCTACACGACAGTATCAAAATGTCCAGATGAAAATATGACCTGCAATGAAAACTAATTTTTGTGTGTGTGTGTGTGTGTGTGTATGTTTGTGTTTGTGAAATTGTGGGTTTCAGCAACATACGGGAAGTTTAAAATCTACAGTTAAAAACTTACAAATGTATGTTTTTTTCCCATAGCTATTCCCAATATTTTTAGATATGTATGAAATTATGAATATAACGATTCATTTCTTTGCCATTATCTTATATTTAGTGCTGCAGAAAATTCTCATTTAGAAGTATGAAATGTACATGAAGTATAATTATTTATCTGTTGGAATAAATCCAAATAATTCTAACAAATCTTTGAGTTTTCTGCCCATAATATTGCGAGAGTGCTGGAGTGACCTGAGCCCTGCCGATCCCCCTCTGACCGGACTATAAACGCACCTGTCGGGCGTAGAGAGATACTTCTGCTTCTCGAAGCGTTTCTCCAGGCCCATGAGCTGCAGCTCGGTGAACACGGTGCGGCTCCGGCGGCCCTTCTTGGTTTTGCTGCCTCCGTCGGCTCCGTGCTCCAGCTTCCCGCGGAGGTGCAGATCCAGCGGCAGGTGGTGAGACGCCGCGCCGACTTGCAGGCCCGGACCCGCGGACAGCAGCGCGGGGCCAAGCGGGGAGCCCAGCGAGCAGGACAGCGGGGACAGCGGGAACTTGAGGAGGCTTGTCTGGTCGGTTTTTAACACTGAAGAGAGCGAGAAGCAACAAACACACACACGGAGGGATGTTTGTTTTAGAAAGTGGCTCATGGTCGTTTTTTTAGCTGGTTTAGGTTAGTTTAGGGTGCTAGGAAGGAGGCGGGAAATTAATTCAGTAAAGCAGAAGCTAAATGGTCCTCCAGCAAATGAAAAGTAATTTTATTATAGCTTATAACACAACAGAGATGTGACTGTGAAATCAAACCAGACAGACTCTTCAGGTCAGAGTTCACTCGGGGATTCAGAATCCCTCAAGTACAGCTGATAGAATATGATGGGAAAAAACATGGTGCATTTGGCCTATAATAAATATGACCATGTAGTTATATGATATCAAACAGCAACAATCGGTACAATCGATACAATGATACAATCAATTTGATGGGCCTGAAACGTTAGAATAAGACGTCTTTTATCGTGCTATTATTATTGTTAGTTTTGCTGTTTGTATCTATTATTTATCATCATCCAGATTCAAGATCTTTAATTCAAATATAATCCAGAGGTTGTGTTCGAGTCACATGATTTTAATCAGCATTAAACAAAATCAAAGCCTGGTGCACAGGATCAGGTATTTTTCACAGAAACTGGACCAGATGTGAAAAGTCATCTACATGTAAACACCTGGAATTACAGTTGATAATCAGACACAGTTCATTCAGAAAAACCACCGCGCAATAGGTTACATTTTGAGGAAATAAACAAACTTTTATCGCATAAACTATCTTTTCTTTTCTTTTTACACTGGAATATGAGTAAATATTGTAACATCTGCGACTCATGTTGGATTTTTCAGAGGAACAGTGAGGGACAGATACTGTAATCCTCATTTTTACGCACGGACTGTAGAAACGTCAAAACATTAAAATCGCATATTTTTTTTACCTGTTGGGTATTTTTCTTAATATAAATAAAATGAGATACTTCCATTAGTTTACAGCTGAAGTTATTTCCTCTAACCAAGATCAGTCTGTTCGACACATTTTGTATTTTAAATCTTTAGCTGTAGCTCGTTTTATCACGCACAATCCCCTCACTGTCTATCAAGCCCAGTTTGAACTAAATATGATCACTAGTCACAGCCTAATAATAATAATTCGTTTTGTTACTATATATTATCTGCATCTTACATTTTTTCCAGCATGAAACGAGTCACATTGACTGTCATTCATCTGTTCACAGCCGCCTCTCTTACCCAGTTGGTTGTGGAAAGGCCGGGCGGACAGCAGAGCTTGTACACCGAACTTGAGGAGCTCCCCGGTCGGAGCCGACGCTTTGTGCTCCGGGTGATCGGTCAGGATTTCCTCTATCATGAAACTCCTGTAACGATGTGTTCTGTGGTCGGGGTGAATTTCCGGAGGATAGTAATGCGCCCCCATGTCCAAAGGATGCTGCATAATCTGGCTGTGCGGTCACTTTCAACAGGCACCGAGCGCTCACACCTGATTATCAGTCCCTCAGTGGCCCAGGCCAGCTGTCATAATCCCTCTGTGCTGCCTGGACAGTCCGGAGATCAATGCTGTGGCTCAGAGTTATCCTCAGGTTCTTCTGGCGCGAACCAAACACCAAGCACAGCTGCCCACTTCTCTGCGACTCTGTGCGTCCTCTGCGGGGTTTTACGCGTTACTTCAGACCAGATTTGTTTTTTCTTGGAGAGGAAATCTGTAACCGAGAACAAAACTTGAAGCAAAAACTCCCGAACCGGGCTGTGTTCATGCCCACTCTGTGTGTGAGAGAGCCGCGGAGGTCGGAGCTATTTGTCAGCTGCGCAGCGCGTCACCTTGGCAGTGAATCGAGGAATAAGCTTTGGGTTTTATGAGTCTCGTCATAGCTCCACCTCTTCTCAGGGCTTGTCTGCGCGCTTCTTTCACTGAGTTGAAGTTACATGCAAAGCCGCTCGTGCCCTGCTTGGATTTAAATGCAAAAGGGAAGGAAAGAAGGACCTGAAAGGACCTGAAAGGACGGAGTTTTTAAAAGCCCAGCAGGTGATATTGCAACTTATACCAATGCTGCTGCTGCTGCTGCTGCTGATGATGATGATGAAGTGTAGCAATTAGTGCATCATAGAAAGCTCAGGTTAGAGGGTAAAGTTAACACCAAAAGAGGCACCACTTTACAATAAGACTACCCTGGTTTATAACTAGTTCATTAATGAGCTTGTTAACAATTTATTAATCATTTATAAGCTGTTATAACACAGCAGATAAAAAAGGCCAACAGCGACCTGTTGCTTGCCAAATAGTGAGCCCACATTTCTCTGTACAGTTCAGCCTCATATCTCATTAGTTACTGAGCTTTCTTTGTTTTCTCCATCATCTGCATTTGTAGCTGCTGCTTCATCACGTTTGTTCAGTTACTATCAATGAACCACCGTCGGCATCTTAATGCTCAGAAAGTTTCATCTGGCAGATGAAATTATAGCAGATCACATGATCATATCAAATACTCAGTGCAGATTAACATGGAGATGCTTTCTGCTGGTTGCTCTCTTCTTTAGCACTTTAGCATTCCAGCTAGAACACAGGTGGGAACCTTCCTTTACCTGGTGAACTGTTCACCCATTCTTTGTCCCACTGTTCACATCTCTGTGATTCTCCCTCCGTCAATCTTCATGTTTCTTCTCATTTTTACAACCATTTATTTATTACTTACAAACATTTATAACTGGTAAAAGGGTAAAACACATTAATATTTATTAATGAGTTACCCGTTATAAATACTAGTCACTAGTTAATAAATGATGATGTGTTTTACACTTTACAATAAGGCTCTTTTTACCAGTTATAAATGGTAGTAAGTCGTTAGTGATGATTTTGATCTTGCCAAATAGTGAGCCCGCGTCAATGTATGAAAACTGTTATATCTTGTTTAAATATAAACTTGTTTATTTATGATTTATAAAGTGTTAACAACCTAATTAATAACCGAATTACAAACCATTATAAGGGTGGTCTTATTGTAAAATGGTACAGATTTTTTCTTGATAATGCACATATTAGGGTGCATGTTGAATATATGCATCAGGCTGTTGCATAGGTTGCATGTCTGATATAGTTTCACACAGAGTTTGCGGCTTGCACAATAAATGTATATGTTTTTGCCAAGAAAGTGATCAAGAAACCAATATTCCTTTTTTTTTTTTTTACAGTTGCGTCTGCTACTACCCATCATGATGTATTATAGTGTAATTGTGGCAGACTGATCAAACCTCAACTGATGGCAGCCTATCAGTGTTCCCCTCTGGCCGGGCCCAGAGAAACCACTGAGGCAGCTCAGAGAGAAATATATCATTCTGGAGGTCAAAAAACCCGCTCCGGAGCACCTCTGGGATTTTTTCCTTTGTGGTTATTTAGCCCAGAATTTGTGAAATATCTCCCACAGCGTATTTTTAGCATGCAGCTCAGGGCTGCTTCGAGAGAAGCTCTGGCCTCTACAATCAACCAAAACCTCACAGAAGCTCTGAATGTCAGAGTTGGAGCTCTATTTAGATTTTTGGCTTTTTCTTTAAAATATGATACAGCAACAAACTTTGTAGGAGCAGGAGCTGATGTGACACATCTCCACAACATAATATCACAATTTAGAGCAAGATGCTCCAATAAATCTGTCAGACTTAAAACTGCACTCACCATCACCATCACCTTAGTCAGAGCTTTTATTTTAACACACGGGTGAACATGATTGAAACTAAAGAACCTGAAAATCATATACGGATCCGAAAAACACAACAAACAATAAAAGCTGCATAACATTGCATTTCGTCAGGGAGGATTAGTGAGACACGTGCAGCTGAGAAGAACGTTACAGTTTTAAGTGACTACAAAAACAATTTTTCCATTTTACACAAATACTACTTAACAAAAAGGCACAATCTTTAAGTAGCAACAGTACAGGAGAGTAAAGGCTTTACAGTATGTCATTTTGTAAGTGTCAACTCACCAAACAACAGAGCATCCACTCCTGGGGTGGAGTGGATGGAGATACAGTTTGGTTTTAGAGAAATAAAAAAAC